AAAATGATCTTAATTTACTAGAACTAAATGAAAATATGACACTAAATAGGACGCAATGGAGAAAAAGGATTCATGTAGCCGACCCCACGTAGTGGGATTAAGGCTTTGTTGTTGTTGTTGTTGTTGACATATATGTCGCATTACCTATGCTGAAAAGGTGTATTTCGCTGTTTAAAAGCTAATATAGCAGTATTTTTTATGTGATATGAAGGATTTAGGTAGCATAAACATGAAAAGTCCAAAGTTAGACATGAAAGTTCATAGGAAATACACATTCATGGCACATTAAATACTACAATAAATCAGTAACTCTTACTTAAAATATTATATATCTTGCTGAGTTTTAGCAGAAGGAATGAGTACATAATGTGAGTTACCTTTCCTTATTCAACTTTGATTTCTCCAATAGCTCCTTGAGCACGGTTGAAGATCGAAACCTCGAATCAAACTCTGCATATTTCTTCTGATTCTCATCTTAAAAGAATCAGTTACCAAATGTTCATCAAATACTGAAAAAGAAAGTAAAAAATATAAGGGGCATTTACATACATAGCACACACAAGTCTTATGTATTTACATGTCTCACATGTAAACTTTCATATTTACATATATAACATCAAAAAATAGCACTATTAACACTTTATAAATGTCAAATCCACAATTTCATGCATAGATTTAAAGCAGCAAAGCGCTTGGTATGTAAATGTGAAAGTTTAGGTGTGAGATATGTAAATACATAAGAATTTTGTGTTAGGAATGTAAATTTCCCAAAATATGAACCAAATTATAAAAAAAAACAATGAGATTATAAGACACTAACCATTCCATTTCTTGAGGAAATCAATCTCCGGTAGCTGGGGGATTGGAAAAGATTCAAGACCAGAAGACCCAGAGAGAAACCCGGCATTCACTGAAATAATTAAGAAATTCAATTCTTTAAATATATATCACACAATTCTTATATGTTTGAATATCTAATACTTAAATCTTTAACATTACATTGAAAATAGCATTAGTATTAACTTTTCTAAGTGAAAAGCACCTTATCCATATATATGTTATGATGAGATTGTTGGAGTGATGAATGGTGATATAAGTAAATATAAAAATTTAGACATTAGAAGTATAAATAAGTAAAAAATAAGTGGCATGTATCTAAATCTCCTAATATATAGGTGTGTAAATATAATATAATTCATTTAGAGAAGGAAGAACCAGAGTTGAAAAACTTAGAAATCATGAAAACTATTAGCCTTACGAAGAAGGAATGCAAAAATTTAATTAGAGGTTGTTTGGTTAGATGATAACTGAGCTATAAATATTTTTTAGATATGTTGTTGTTTGTCAAATTTAATATTAATTTTCTGTAATCTTATTCAAACACTGTTATTGCATTTATGGTGATTATGCTATTTTTATTATTTGCATAAGCGATCAAATAGCTTGCCATTTAGATTTGTATGGATATGAAATTTATATAAATGACATGTCTTTCAAGTATATGTAAGATTTAGATAATGTTTGATTATTCATATAATGTAAGTTTTCAATTGTACATCAAATGCTTGATTTAAGCTTATTTGGACTCGAATAAGACAATTTTTTTATGTTTTCAGGTTCACCTTGTCAAGACATTCGGTTTAACTATGAATTTGTTAGAATTAGAAGTCGGATAATCATAAATTTAGTTCTAGAAATTCTCAATTCAAAATTACATCAAGATTGGTGCTTAATTGAAAGTATTTTCATATGACATGATTTTAAGTAAATAAGAGAATTAACTGACTTTTTAAATAATAATTTCTTAAATAACTTATTTGATGACATCTACATTTTTCCCCCACTATCACACATCTAACATCAGGTTAATAATAATTGAAAAATAATAATATAAAATCATAATTATCAGTCTATCACCTATAATTCTAAATTTTAAGAAACATAATTGTATATAAAAAAAATGTCAACATAGATTAGATGTCCCAAACAAGGTGAGGCGTATCAAAGGAAAGCCCGCCGATAAGAGACTCTGAAGCCTAATTGTTCGATCAGAAGCATCAAGACCAAGGTGAATCAAAGCAATCAAACGATTTCAATCTAAGCAGACCGACCGGAAGCGAAGTATAGGAAAACACAAGTCATTCCTCATGACGAAACCAATCCAAATTGTCTTTGAACGTCATCAAGAATCAGAGGGATTAATCTCAAGCCATTCCTCACAACCTCTAACTATCGGAGTAAAGTAATTTACCCTCTGCCCAATAGCTAGTATGTCTCTTCCCTGACGACTCGAGCTCCTTATAAGGGATCGATATTCAGCAGTGATCAATCGGTTAGCACAAGTTAGCCGACTAGGGAGATCTTGCCAACCCTTTGTCAGTAAGAGCCCATCCAATTGGCAGCATCAAGCTTAGCCGATTGGTAGTTTTACCAGCCCAGGCGGTCGATGGGCCTCTCTAGCTTAGCCGACCTAAGAAGCCTAGCTTGCTAGCAGAGCTTTAGAGGAGTTAGGCTCTTAGCCCGCATATGCAAAATACCTATAACAACCCGTATAACTCCAACTAAAGTAAAGACATAAATGTAACTTCACATATCATACATTTTATTTTTATATAAATATAAGATCATTCTATGAATGAGGGGTTACATATCTCTCTCGAATTACTATCACACATCTAACATTAGGTTAATAATAATTGAAAAATAATAATATAAAATCATAATTATCAGTCTATCACCTATCATTCTAAATTTTAAGAAACATAATTGTACATTAAAAAAATGTCAACATAGATTTGATGGCCCAAACAAGGCGAGGCATATCAAAGAAAATCCCGCCGATAAGAGACTCCGAAGCCTAATTGTCCGATCAGAAGCATCAAGACCAAGGTGAATCAAAGCAATCAAACGACTTAAATCTAAGCAGACCGACCGGAAGCAAAGTATAGGAAAGCACAAGTCATTCCTCATGAAGAAACCAATCCAAAGTGTCTCTGAAGGTCATCAAGAATCAGAAGGATTAATCTCAAGCCATTCCTCACAACCTCTATCTATCGGAGTAAAGTAATTTACCCTCTGCTCGATAGCTAGTATGTCTCTTCCCTGGCGACTAGAGCTCCTTATAAGGGATCGATATTCAGCAGTGATCAATCGGTTAGCACAAGTTAGCCGACTAGGGAGATCTTGCCAACCCTTTGTCAGTAAGAGCCCATCCAACTGGCAGCATCAAGCTTAGCCGATCGACAGTCTTACAAGCCCAGGCGGTCGATGGTCCTCTCTAGTTTAGCCGACCTAAGAAGCCTAGCTTGTCAGTCCAATCAGCAGAGCTTTAGAGCAGTTAGGCTTTTAGCCCGCATATGCAAAATACCTATAACAACCCGTATAACTCCAACTAAAGTAGAGACATAAATATAACTTCACATATAATACCTTTTTTTTTATAAATAGAAGATCATTCTATGAATGAGGAGTTACATATCTCTCTAGAATTACAATTTATTAATGTGCATTCCATTCTCTCACTCTCTCTCACATGTCTTACGCTCAATTCCTTTGGTGTGATTCACGAACAGATTGGATTCAACAATAATAATGAATCAAACACACCATATTTGATAGATAATTTAATTTTAACATTATAATTTTGATGCATGAAACTATAATTATTATCTATATAGCATTAAGTAAAACGGCCCCCCAAAAAAAACTAAAACAACATAAAAAAAAAACTTTAAAAAGCTTGCCCTAAAGTTACCGGGTGCTCCATGAGGAAAACGAAGCTAAGAGCTCAGAAGACCTGTAAGAAAGGATTGGTGCTAAGAAAGTGATTAGGTTTTACCTGGACTAGTCCATAGAAGAACGGAAATAGAGGTGGCAATAGGAATCGCCGCAGTGAGTGCTTGAGATGAGAGAAGAGGAGGAGTGCGCGTTGATGGAAGCAACAGAGTTGGTTCAGAAGAATCGGAAGATTTGAAGCCTCTGTTGTCCAATTTCCTGTTTCTGTGTGAGATTGGAGGAGAGAGAGAGTCATGGAGAACTAGAGAAGACGAAGAAGAGGGAGAGAGCATGGTTTTTCTCCACAGAACAGCCTTCTAAGATGATAAGGGGGCAAGGGTTTTTTTCTTTTTTACGGGAAATTTACATATATAGCACAAAATTTTTATGTATTTATATTTCACATTTCTAAATTTTCATATTTACATATGTATGACTTTGATTTTTTAAATATATGCAAAAAAAAAAATAAAAACGAATTTCACTTGTAAAAATAATAATTCATTTTTGATATCATATTAAAAATTCCGAGTGTAATATGTGTAAATAGGAAAGTTTAGGTACGAGATATGTAAATATATAAAAATTATGTGATGTATATGTAAATGTCATTTTTTTCTTTAAAAGTGCACAAAATCTAATTATTTATCCATCAAATTGCTGAATTTAAATATTTTATGTGTGAAATTTAAAGTTTTAATATCACATAAAAAATATTATTAATATTAATTTTTAGATAAATTTACATGCACACCACACAATTCTAATGTATTTTCACAAGTAACGATTAATTTCACTATTTGTCTATAGTAACTTGGTATTATAAACACATGCATGAATACATGAAAGTTGTATTTCAATTTTAAGAGTAGTATTTTGAACACAATGTAAAAAATTTGTGTTACATATGTAAAAATCAAATTTAAGTGTTTGATATGTAAACATATATAAGAAGAGTGGCATGAATGTAAATGTCCCGTTTTCTTAAAATATAATTTTTTTTTTTTTTTATATAAAAATATTTTGATATAATTAAGATATTAAAATATTGTTCAAGTAAATATTAAAACTTAGTCGTGAGATATATAAATACGATGATTAATATGTATGTATATTCCCCCCTTATTTTGAAAATAGTGGTTTTTGGCAAATTAAGTCGCCAAATTATCTCTATTTACACTTTTGAAAAGCTGAATTTTACAGTTTTTACGGAAGAATTTGAATGTTTAAGTCGGGGAGGTTCATGCATATACATAGCATATACACAGATGTTGTATCTGTTGAAATATAAACTTGGTTTTAATTGTTTAAATAGAGT